TAGATAGATAGATAGATAGATAGATAGATAGATAGATAGATAGATAGATAGATAGATAGATAGATAGATAGATAGATAGATAGATGATAGATGGACATGGAGACACATAGAAGACATAGATAGATGTAGATTTAAATAGATAGCAAGATGATGTAGTAGAGTTATAGTCCCAAAGTCTTAAATTTCCCACAGCTCCTGCTTTCAAGGAAGCCCGGCCAGACTTCGAAAGGGACTAAAAAATTGCTCTTTTCTACCGATTTGGACAGAATAAGTTAATTGAAGCCGATCTTGATTTGTTACAGATTTGTCACAAGAGTCTTGGGGGGGGGGGGATGTGTACATGAAACTCGAGAGGGTGGGGGGATTGAAAGCTTCCCATGCATATTATCAGAGCAGCCTTTAGGAGAAAACTAAGACACACACACACACAGGAACCAGCCCCTCCCCAGGACGGGGGCTTCGATTTCCCCCCCACCCAAGTCTGTATTTATTTAAATATCGGATTTTTTTTTCTTTCCCCTTCAAGGCAAACGTCCTGGCCATCGTCCCCGGCAGACGCAGAGAACTTGGGTGAGGACAGGATTCGGCCTTCATAAATTAAAATAACTGTCTTCTCTCTATACAAGGCAATCCCGGCTTGGGTGAGGGTCTCCGGCCCGGCAGAGACGCACCCACCCCCCGCTGTTGTGGTACCTGGTCTCACACCTCGATGCCGAGATCGGAGCCGAGGCCCTGTTTCTGCAGAAGCTCCTCCTGCTTCATCTTGGGCTTCTCAGTCCGGGTGTGCCAGACAAGGACCTGAAAAGACAAGATAGGTTTTGGGCTTCCTTGCGGCCTCATGGACATGAGAGGTATCCTCGACTTATGACCAATACTGGTGTGGGGGGGGGGGGGGGGGGGAAAGGCAGGACATCTGCTGATAAGCAAGGCAGTTAAGAAGCTCTTTGGGGAACTGGGTGGTTTTCTTGCAGGCATCTCATGACCCAACTAGGTAACATCATCAGTGCTAGAAGGTGGAAGGAAGAAGGAGAGAATTGTGGGGTCCTTGGTGCTCTCTGAGCTGGGTGGTTTTCTTGGGAGACGTTTCACTACCAAACTAGGTAACATCATCAGTGCTGAAAGGGGAAAGGAAGAAGGAGAGAATTGTGGGGTCCTTGGTGCTCTCTGAGCTGGGTGGTTTTCTTGGGAGACGTTTCACTACCAAACTAGGTAACATCATCAGTGCTGAAAGGGGAAAGGAAGAAGGAGAGAATTGTGGGGTCCTTGGTGCTCTCTGAGCTGGGTGGTTTTCTTGGGAGACGTTTCACTACCAAACTAGGTAACATCATCAGTGCTGAAAGGGGAAAGGAAGAAGGAGAGAATTGTGGGGTCCTTGGTGCTCTCTGAGCTGGGTGGTTTTCTTGGGAGACGTTTCACTACCAAACTAGGTAACATCATCAGTGCTGGAAGGGGGAAGGAGGAGGAGGAGAATTGTGGGGTCCTTGGTGCTCTCTGAGCTGGGTGGTTTTCTTGGGAGACGTTTCACTACCAAACTAGGTAA